ACAGATAACTGGGACTGAAGTACTTCATAATGACACTACTTTAGTACGATCACAGATAACTGGGACTGAAGTACTTCATAATGACACTACTTTAGTACGATCACAGATAACTGGGACTGAAGTACTTCATAATGCTGACACTACTTTAGTACGATCACAGATAACTGGGACTGAAGTACTTCATAATGCTGACACTACTTTGGTACGATCACAGATAACTGGGACTGAAGTACTTCATAATGCTGATGCTACTTTAGTACAATCACAGATAACTGGGACTGAAGTACTTCATAATGCTGATGCTACTTTAGTACGATCACAGATAACTGGGACTGAAGTACTTCATAATGCTGATGCTACTTTAGTACGATCATAGATAACTGGGACTGAAGTATTCATAATGCTGACACTACTTTAGTACGATCACAGATAACTGGGACTGAAGTACTTCATAATGCTGACACTACTTTAGTACGATCACAGATAACTGGGACTGAAGTACTTCATAATGCTGATGCTACTTTAGTACAATCACAGATAATTGGGATTGAAGTACTTCATAATGCTGACACTACTTTAGTACGATCACAGATAACTGGGACTGAAGTTTTACATAATGCTGACACTAATTTAGTACGATCACAGATAATTGGGATTGAAGTACTTCATAATGCTGACACTAATTTAGTACAATCACAGATAACTGGGACTGAAGTACTTCATAATAATGACACTACTTTGGTATGATCACAGATAACTGAAGTGCTCTTAATCTTAGTTTAATTACTGATATAGAAAGTATTCATCTTCTATACAAGTAAAATAACCTCACAAATATTTTATTAATCCTCCAAAATCAGAAATTAGATGAATCTCAAAATAAGAAACCCAATATCCCAGACCATGTTTGGAAAATCAGACGTTCTTCCTGCAGGGATGAACTGGGAATGAGATACCCGAAAGTACACCACAAGCCTACCCCTCTTAAGACATCTTGAAAAACAAACCAATCTTTGTACTAATATACGAATTCCATAAATCCTTCCTAGACTGACATATTCCAGTGTTGTGAAACGTACGTCAAATTAGTACTTTTATTGAGAAGCACATGTACACAGCATGGTCACAAGTAAATAGACACCACCTTTTCAGAAAAAATTAAAATTAATATCTAGTAGATCTTCCTTTTGCTTTGTGGAGTTCATTGATACTTTGGGGCATT